CATCCAGTAGGCCACACCCACTCTATCCACACCCACCCAGTAGGCCGCACCCACCCGGCCCCCCAAGGGCAACCGCAATGCTGATGCGGCCCTCAATGAAATTAAGTTTGACACCCCTGTTGTAGATTGTACACTTATCTGATGATAGTTTCTCTGAACATTGCCTCAAAGACCAATAGGGAACCTAAAGTGTTTGAGAAATGAGTCTTACTTACCCTTTCTGTTTACAATCCCTGACAACTGCTACAATGAAATCTCTGAGCTTTTACAAAAACTGTGAATAATTGAGAGTAACAGAAAAATAATTTTACTTCAGTGTATAGAATTACAGATGAATAGATGATATCCCCCTTTTAAATAAATCTTTACATGAATTAGTGGTATAGAATTAAAATATGTGTCCAAACTTGAAAAACTTAAATTTGACAGTACAGGATTTCACCCAATGGGTTCAAGAGGAAGTGCTGCCCATGGCCTATTTTAACTTACATAAAGTAGTTAAATAATTCCCTTTCCTTCTAAACAGGCTGCATCAAGCCAAGAATGTATTGCAACCACAATTATTTTCTTCAGAAAACATTTACATTTGCAATACACAACTACAAATATATCTGCTGTTTTGCTATCCTGAGCAGCAAAGATCCATTTATGCTTCTGTGGAAACGCACTTATCTAGGCATATTTTAATTTATTCCACGCTCAAATTTCGTTCTGTACCCCATTCCTTGTGTTTTTTCACAGGCCTCTCATTTTAGACCAGTCTGTCTGCCACATACTTTCTTCATCAGCATTCCCCATCCAGATGCTCGTTATTCATTGGACTACAATCCCCATCGTCTTATAGGCCAACATACATGAAAAGCACCAAATGCAGAAAGTTTACAGTAAGGTATAGGCTAGCAGAATAACCAGATGAACTTTCAAAAGACACCTGGATGATGATTCTCAGACTAATTTATTTCCCAGAGTTATTGGGTTTTTTCTTTTTTTTTTAAAAAAAGAATCACTGCCCTGTAAGAAAAGACAAATACAAAGCTATATTTACAAACCCCAGTGTCCATGCATTTGACATGCAAACTTCAATAAACAACAATATTTCTTCACTCTGGTTCTGTGGTATATTTGAATCATTTATTTTCCTGGAGGAACTGGAGCAGCCTGCATTCCTTAAATATTGGACCTGTTAAAAGCAGGCATTCATACTGTGGCTAGAGTGAAAATCACTGCCTGTGCCACTTTGAGGAGGTTATTTTCAGGTGAAGATGTGAAGGCCATTTTATAGTTTTGACTTGGTTGGCGTTCTGAGTGTGCCTTTAATGAACTCAGGGTGCTTGGTGCAAGACGAGTCCATCATTTCCAAAATCAGATCATTGGGCCTCTAGTCAATGTCCGTTCCAACTAATAGACTATGTGCACTGAGGCAAAAACCCATTCAGACCTATCAGAGACCAAACCACAAGGCTGGGATGTTGTCTATGCTTATAAACCACCATACACTTTCCTATTCCCTCCAGTGCAAACCTCAGCAGAAAAAACCAAAAATTAAGATATTTGATCAGAATGAGCCAACATTTTGCAAAAAGTGCATTCTCCATGCCATGTTTGACACCTTGCATTAAACTAAGGTTTGTTTAACAACAGTCTTCTCTCCTCCCTCCCAAAACTACCCCCTTAATTGGCTAAATGTACATAATCAAAAACATAACTATTTTATGGCATACCACGCTGGGTAAACTCAACTATTATATTCAACGTTAAAATTCTCATATGCCACCAGGAAAAGTAGACTTGTCTTCTCCAATGCATATCCAATTAGTGATTTTCTTTTAATTGACCTTCAACAGCAATTGGATTTGATGAAGTGGTTTAGATTTTTTTTTTCTCTTTCGTTACTCACTCCCCCCCCCCCCGCCCAACACGCACATTGTAAGGCAATTTGTGATCAAGCCATCTGCTTCAATGAAAGTCGCATTTTATCATTGGAAAGGCCGTTCAAATCCTATAATGCGACCATAAAGATTTCCAGCGGGCCATACATACAGGGAAGCTACCACTTCGTGGCCAAATCTCTCTTTCACCATCTTAAGCTGCCCCGGAATCTCTAGCACAGTGTTTCTCAACCTTGACAATTTTAAGGCATGTGGACTTCAACTCCCAGAATTCCACAGCCAGCATTGCTGGCTGTGGAATTCTGGGAGTTGAAGTCCACATGCCTTAAAATTGTCAAGGTTGAGAAACACTGCCTAGCACTTCAAATGATGTTTGCGCAGATAGTTAAGGCTGCCCTAAAACTGCCTGTTTGTGGAGGGGTTTTGCAACGAGGCCCATCTTCCTTTCCCTATCAGTGCCAACTTCCTGGCGTTGCTGTTGCTTAATTCTTTCTAAGTTCTTGCTTCCAGGAAGGCAGACTTACTAAATTTTGCTCTGATAGCAGAGCGTTCCTTTCTCTATACGCGTGTTTTTTTAACCAATATAAAAGCTTCCGCGTTGATAGATGCGTTAAAAGGAAAAAGGGGGGAGGAAAAAAAAAGGTAAAGATTGACACAAGAGTAGGTTCCCCCCCCCTCATTTCGGATAAGGTAGGGAGGGGAAGGAAGGCCGTGGAAAGGGATTTCTTTTTTAAAATGGGCGCACATTGTTGTAGAGTCAGTAGCGTGCGCTGAGGGGAGCTCTTTCTCTCGGTTGCATTGTGCAGAGAGCAGGTGCTTGTCCACATTACCATACAGCTGAGGGCACAAAGCGCCAACTGATGCAGGCCTCCCATAATAACAAACTGCCTTAATGACAGCCACGCGAACGACCCACACCGCTCACGTTAAACACACACACGCACACAACACAAAAAGTACGCTCAGAGAAGGAGAAGAAAAAAAAAAAGGCAGAAAGAGACAGCTAAAGGCACGGGGAAAGAAGAGGAGAAGAAACGAAGTTGGGGGCCTCGATCGTTGCAAGTTCGCCAAGAATTCAAGGGAAAGGGTGTGTGTGTGTGTGCGTGTGTGAATGGAGCGAGGGACTGAAAGAGCTTCTTTTGGGGTCTTTAAAAAGCAAGACTGTTTACCCAGCCAAACTTCCCTCGTCCGTCCCTCCCCCTCTTGGAACTTAACACAAGGCAAGAGTCTTTTCCGGATTGTTTGCAACTGAAAGTCTTCGGGGTTTGTTGCGCGTAAGGATCAAGGAAAGGCGCGCAGGGACTTTTTGAAACCTTCCTATCCAACTCATCCCCCCCCCCCATCTCTGGCTCTAGGGTCCCCCAACTCCACAGCGCAAGCAACCGAGGGTTTAACCGCCTTTGAAAAACCAACAAGCTTACAACAGACACTTTGGGAAGTCTGACTGGGTCTACGTCTCCCGAATTGGCGTTTCCTTCCCTTGTCCTGTTTCTCCCAGACCTCCAGAGTTCAAGGGATGCCGGTTCCCAGCGGAAGAGACTCCCCTGCGCTAGATAAATGCGTTGTGTACTACAGTTCTCATCGCTTTGGGTCAAGGTGAGGGGAATTGTAACCCGACATCGAAAAGGGTCGAGGACTGCCCCACTGCGGACGGCTTTACGCACCCCCGCAGACTATGCTTTTAAGAAAAGAAGCGAGAAGAAAAAGCGCAACGCGCGCACGTTAATATATACATATATACACATTTGAAGACGTTCCCAAAACTCAAGCGTTTTTCCGATGCTCGACAGGTTTCCTGCATTTTTCCTATTCGGAGAAGAAAAAGCGCGAGCGAGACGCTCTTATTGGGAAAGAAGAGCCAAGGGTGTGCGTGTGGCGGGGAGGGTCGCTTCTTGCGGTTGCCAAATTTGCAGGCATGTAAATCTGCTCCCCCTCCCCCTTTAGATTTTGGTGAGAGCTGGAGGGGAGGGGAAAGAGGACGAGGGTTGCCCATTTTACAGCTCACTGACCATTTGGTGATCCATTGAGCGGGAGGCTCGGAAAAGTGGTTCCTTTGTGACCGCTCTAGCCAGATTGGGGGGCTGCTCATTTGCATCTCATTAGCCATGCAGGCGGCCGGCGAGATATAAGGCACGCAGGCGCCCGAACACAAGGCAGATCCTTAGCGCTACAGAGCAAGCCGGCGAGCAAAAAATTAAAAAAAAAAACCCCGAAAAAAAAACCGGAAAAAAAAGAAAAAGAAAAAAAAAAAAGGGAATAATTTTACTCCAATCCAGCAGGCGGTTTTCAAGGCGAAAGCAAAGCTCACCCATGACTAAAGCGGAGAGCAGACATTAACGCGGGCACCGCTAGCCATCGATTTTGGAAAACCCACGAAGCAACAACATTTTGCTTGGTTTTTTTTGCGGGCGTGGGGGGGGGGGAAAGGCTTGGATTTCTTTGTTTAAAAAAAAACCAAAAAAGCAACACATCGATCGGAATTCATAGCCAGAAAAGTGGCGACCAGCAAAGCTTGGGGGAGATTTGCAAACGGCTGCTTGTGCGTAATCGCCAACCCCTCCGCAAACACATGCACGCCAAAACAAAAAACCCGCCACTCTTCGCCTGAAGCCACCGGGAATTATCTTCTCGTCCCCTGAGAGATTTCCAGATCGTTGATTATTTTAATCTGCTTTGGGAAAGTCTTTTCTTCGTCCCTGGGAATTAAGTGGCTTTTCTCTCCTTTGCTTTGGTTGGAGCTAGAGAAACCAAAGCGCCAAGAACTGTATCTGGAAGGGGAAGCCAAGAAGGAGGGTAGTCCTTTCCTTGAGCCTAATTCATCTTTAAAACGAGATCTGTCAGTCAACTAAAGGGCGTATCTGAAACGCATCGACGAGGGGGGTCGCGGGGGGAGAAAGAGAGAGAGAGAGAGAGAAAGACTCCAAACAAATAAATCTTCATTCTAATCCCCCTCCGGCCAGGCTCGGAGCGGAGCACCGTCCGGACCCCTCGGCTTGACAGAAGCTCGTCTTGGTTTGCCGTTTTTGTCCCCTTTGGAAAGGAAAGCCGGGGACAAGAAGGGAAGAAGCCCAGATCTCTTCCCTATTCCCCCGTTTCACCAGCCCTGACAAAATGGGAGGACGGTCCACGCTGGCTTTAGTTGTCTTTTGCGTGCTTCAGCTTCCCTACCAGGTAAGCCTCAGGGGGATGAGGGGGGGGGGGTGCGTGCCGACGGGGCTCTGGCATTCCACCACCCAAAAAGTTGGCGGCCCCTCTCCGGGAGCGCAGCGGCGCTCACCCTTCCAGCTCTGGCCAAGGTTGGGGTGGGGAGCGCGCGAGGAGAAGCGTCTGTCCTCCTCCCGAGTGAAAGAGAGCCCAGCACCGCTTCCTCGCGCGTTCCCACGAGAAGCTTCCGCGTTCTCGGGAAGGAAAGCGCGGCTCGAGCGCTTCCTTAGCATTCCCGGGACTGCGATACTCGGGACACGTGCTCTCCTCCGCGCGTTTCTCTCTCTCTCTCTCTCTCTCTCTCCCTCCCTCCCACCCCCGGTCGGAGCGTCGTGAGGTGCTGGGTGGGCATCAACTGGGCGCATCGCCCTGGGGAATTCGGCCTCCGCGCTCGGCTCGGCGGGAGGTTGCCCATTATGCGCGGCGGCGGGGGAGGGGGGGGCGCATCGGACGAGCGCCGCAGTCCGCCTGCAGCGCCGGGGAGGCAGAACTTTCATTGATCCATTTGCCCCGCCCCTTCGAGGTGATCCCGGCCCAACTGCGGCGCTGCCCCCGAACAACCCTCGTTGCTCCAGCCTCTAGTCTAACCGTATGCCGTTACCTCTCTCCACCACTCCCAACTCCCTCCCCCCCCACGGCCCTTCTCTGCAGGTTTGGACCTCCGGCGTCTTCGAGCTGAAGCTGCAGGAGTTTGTCAATAAGAAGGGGCTTCTGGGCAACCGCAACTGCTGCCGAGAGGGCCTGGGCTCCGCCAGTGCTGGCGCCGGCGCTCCGGCTGGCTTGCAACAGTGCGACTGCAAAACTTTCTTCCGCGTGTGCCTTAAGCACTACCAAGCTAGCGTGTCCCCAGAGCCGCCTTGTACCTACGGCAGTACCGTCACTCCGGTTCTTGGAGCTAACTCGTTCAGCGTCCCCGACGGCGCCGACGCCAGCGAACCGTCTTTCAACAACCCCATCCGGTTCCCCTTCGGCTTCACCTGGCCGGTAACGTCGCCGGAACCTCTTAGGGAGGGTCTCCTGGGATTGAGAGGCGGAGGGTTACATGCAAGAGGGTAGACTTAAGTCCATATCGAAGAGGCTTAAATTGTATTACACATTTGTAATCGGGTAGCGTTTTGAATGCAGGGGAAGAATGTGCCAATCATTTGGAAATGACAATGCCACTCTGTTTATTTGGTCACAGATACAGATGAGAGCCATCTTGTAATTAGGGAGTTAGGATTGTCTTGCCAGAGGTAAAAAGTCTAACTGTTACTTTGGTGATCTGTATTGGGATGACACCGCTATAATATATACAATACATACATTTTACACACAGACTGCTATAAATCACCAGTGAGGAAATGACCTTGGAATGCCATTCTATCTAGTTTAGGAAATGGATGTTCACAATGGAAAATGCATGGTCCAGAAGTCCAGAGAGGATGGATTATTTTTAGTCTTTCCAGAAGATGGAACACTTAATGGTACTCTTGAATGCACTTAAATAGAGGGATTCTGGGTTTAGAACCAAGGGATCCAATTTATTTTAAGTCATGTTATACAGAAAGAAGTTTTTATGGGACGCTTTTATTGTGCACTTATTCCTCTTGTTCACAGAATATTATATGGCCTCAGGTGTTATTTGCCTCTGTCACCTCCTGTGCCTTTTTTTCCTTTTTCCTCATGATTTCCTTCATGCCAAAGGAAAGGAACAGCTCTGCACCCATTTAAAATGCTAGAAGCCACTTGTTTGCATGCTGTAAGAGCAGGCAACAGGTTATCCTCTGATCAGCATTTCTGCAACCAGGCAACTTTTAAGATGTGTGGACTGCATGGCTGCCTGGAGGATTCTGGGAGTTGAAGTCTACACATCTGACAGTTGCCAAGCTGGAGAAACACTGATCTAAATGTTTTGGTCTACATTTCCTGCAGTCCACTGCCATTGGCTTTTCCGGCTGTAGTTGATGGGAGTTGAAATCTCAAAATCCTGGATGGTACCAGATTGTCCTTCGTTGATGTAATCAAAATGGGTGCCTGTTTTGTAAACATAGAACTTTTTCCTCATCCTGCAAAAAGTGTCTGACCCTTTCTCAAGACCTTCAGTTAAGTGGCTGCTTTCCTGGTGTTTCCTGGAGTATTCAGTGCAGCTGAATACTGAAATTCTGCCACTGGAACTGCAAAACTTTTTGCAGACTGCAATTTGGCAGTGGCAAGTTGACAGTTGATCATCACTAGGAGCCACAGCCGATCCATTGAAGGGAATGTTAAAGACAGGATTGACAGATTATCTGAACATAATCCCACTCCCCTTGTCTGCCTACTGTGGAAATACCAAAGTTGTTGCCAGTTTGGCCCACCACACTTCTAGCATATTTTCTCCCCTCCTCCCCTTGGCATTTCTCTTCATTATTCTCAATTCTCAGAATAAGAATAAGCAGAGGGGGAGGATTGGCAGTCGTGGCTCTTCCCAGCCCCTCCCCATTTCCCCTTGCTGCTCCATTTTAATACCATATCCTGTATGAACAGGCTGAAAAAACAGGCCAGGAAGCAAGTTTTGAAAAAGTGCTGCCATTTCCTTGAGGGGAAAAAAAGAGGCCTGAGTCAGGAGATCAGAGAGTCATGCTGGCTGTTGTGGCTGTAGTCTCCTGTGATTATATTATTCTGCTGACTGCAGGCCTTCACATTCATTGTTTCTCCTTTTCTGTATTGTGCAGGGCACTTTCTCTCTCATCATTGAAGCTCTGCACACTGACTCTCCTGATGACCTCAGCACAGGTAAATAATGATTTCCCAAGTGGTATATTCAGGAGTCTTTCTTAACCTGGGGGCCTTCCTAGGTCATGACCTCTATGTTACCTTTGGGGAAAACAGCCTGGCACACCTGGAGGGCAACGGTTGGGAAGACAATTTTACACATTCCTTCTAATCTAACTGCCTGTTCAATGGACTTGTTTTCCATTGTGATCTTCAGCCACTTGGCTAGAGGTCAAGCCCAATAGCATTCTTAGAAATACCCAGTCCTTCCCAAAGATTATCTAGGTCTCCAGGAGTACCATCACCTTTTTTATTTAATGAACTGTTGTGCTATTCCATTTTTTTGTTCCACCCTACCCCTTCCCTCTTCAGAGAATCCAGAACGTCTCATTAGCCGCCTGGCTACACAGAGACATTTGACTGTTGGGGAAGAATGGTCCAGTGACCTGCATACCAGTGGTCGCACTGACCTCAAATATTCCTACCGATTTGTGTGTGATGAGCATTACTATGGAGAAGGCTGTTCTGTCTTTTGTCGCCCTCGGGATGATGCCTTTGGCCACTTCACTTGTGGAGAACGTGGGGAGAAGGTCTGCAACCCAGGCTGGAAGGGACTATACTGCACTGACCGTGAGTATCCACAGATGAAAACTTCACCTTTCTTTCTAAACTTCTATTTATTCTGATTACTCTGCATAAATCCAAACATACCCCCACTCAACGAATAATGAGGGAAATGATCTCTCTTCCCTTTTGGACAAAATGATGGTGGTTTCTCTTGGGAGATTGTCTGTTGGTATAGCCCAGGGGTAGGCAACCTTGGCTCTTTTATGACTCGTGGACTTCAACTCCAGAATTCCTGAGCCAGCTATGCTTTAATTTATGACTCGTGGACTTCAATTCTGGGAGTTGAAGTCCACGAGTCATAAAAGAGCCAAGGTTGCCTACCCTTGGTATAGCCCATTTTCATGTCCAAATGCTAAGAAGTAAATCAGTGCAAATAAATTATGTACATAAACACAAACTGTACATATATACATATGCATATATATACATACATATGTATATATATGTACAGTATGTGTTTATGTACATACATAAACATAAAACTATGAATCTACTCATTAAGATATGGGGCAAGGATCCAATATAACATGAATAGAATTTGATCCTGAAATGAGGTAAATCAACACACAGCAATGATAAAAATGATATCACTATATTATATTATATCATATATAATTATTAAACATATAATTATCATTATGTATGATGACTTCACTTACAGGGACAAAAGAATAAAAGCTTGTACAGATCTTTCATTATTTACAAGATTATGATCACAGTCCAGCTAACATTATGTCTTAAGACTGTGTTTGTTTTTAAGAGTGATTTGGAAGAATAAAACTGACTCTCATTGTTTTAAGAATTGCCCTAATTCCATTGAGTTGATTCCTTAAAACAAACATCTGTTTTCAAATTTTCAGAGAATCCTGAAAAAATCAAGCTGCTATAATGAATAGCAGAGATATGCTGCAAGATCCAAAACAATTCTTTGTAATTTTGAATGCACAGATCTATTAAGTATTAATCAGTTTTAATCCCCATGGTTCTTGCTGGGAGACTTGTGTTCTCCCACTAAAATCTGAGAATTGCAAGTGCTTAACATCAATGCTAGCTGGATTCTATTCTTTGAAATTGCAAGTGAAACAATATCTCTGCAAAATGTAGGATCCTATCCTAGATTCAAAATTTCCTTCATGCACATCAGCCAAGCTATGTACAGCAGCTTCCTCAGCCTAGTAGCCTCTAGCAGTTTTAGTCCTCAGCTTCCATAATTCCCAACCACAATACTATAGTCCAACACAGCTGGAGGGCATTACACTGGGAAAGGCTGATATAAAAGCTTTGGAAAAAGTTGATAGTGTTTTAGAATTCCTATTCCATCTTTCAAAAAGTGAAGAATTTCATATTCTTTCTTGATCAGTAAAAAAGTAGCCATTAGGGAATCAGAGTAAGAGTCAAATTATTTTACTCGGAGGCCTGACTGTTCTTTATTATTCAGTGAATGAAGCAAAGTTAAAGAAACTCGCATACATATTCAGTGACAATTTGAACTAATTTGCTATAGAATAATGCTTCTTGAAGATCATAATTTTTCTCTTGAATAAATACGATTACATTTAATGGACATTAAATGAATTTAGCCATACCATAAGCATGATGAAGAGATTCCTCAAGTGGGGAACCAGTGGGAGGGGGGATGAGTAGGAGTGCCAGTGTCCCTGTTGCAATTCTTAGTCTCCTCAGCTGGTCTTTTCGGCTGTGGGAGAAGACCCTGGATGCTAAACTAAACTGAATCAAATATTAATGCCAAAATCAAAGGAAAGAGGTATCTTGTTAGCTTCTTTATATGGGAAAGGAAGATAATGCCATCTTGTTATTCATCTCAGGTGGCCAAATGTCTCAAACAACCCTGACATTAAAGCTTACAAATCCCTCAAAGGGGGCTTTATTGTTCATTAATTAATTAGCAATGAAAGCCAAATGGATCCACCTATTTCCCTCTATTATTTATTATGTTCAGCAAACTGACATGCATCGAAATGGTTATCATAATGTAGCTGTCCAATAAATGCACTTTGCAAGCATTTTGTTATGAGCAAAGAAGGCAGTTCTTATTTCTTTTACCTGCCGTTCCAATGTTTCTATTAGATGGCATGTTTGTTTATTGGACCATTAGACCATCAAATTAGACCAGATGACTGTTCCAGCTTTCAGATCCTGTAGAATTAATTATTCATTGCTGGATAGTAAACGATCCAAGATATGGGTAAGGTAGTGGTGGGGAGAGGAACAGAAAAAAGTGACAACATTTTCCCTTTTTCTTAATTTTATCTCCCCTTTCCCACCTGTATCCTTCACTTACTGTCTAGCATGTAGTTCTGTGACATCCTGGTGACTTAGTAAATATATTGTGGCAATCTGGTATTTGGAAAAGCTATTAAAACAACAACAAAAACCTAACTCCCTCCCCTATTTTCTGCATTTGGTATTTTAATATTATTCAAAACTATCCTTTCTGAAAGCTTAGTAAGACGAAACTAACATACACTGGCTTAGGGAAGGCCTGGCTGGCATAGGGTGACAGAGGGAAGGCCTAATAGGGGATGTTTATAAAAGGGAAGATCCCCCAAATATAAGTTTGGCCCTAGATTTCAATGGGTTGTCAGTCATGCCATCCATAAAAGCAAAAAAAAAAAGTCTTTCTGAAATCAGTTTGTTCTCTAAGCAATTTTATTAAATGCCAATATTGATAGAGAAACTCAGAAAAGCAAAGTTACAAACATATCCAATTAAACCCAGATCTACTTCCAAGTAACTTGGATTACATTTTCCAGAATTTCTGGCTATCTTCTATGCCAGCTGCAGTTTATAAGGGTCGTAGCTCAAAACATCTGGAGGGCATCAGGTGGCCTAACCTTGAACTAGACTCTCTTCATTCAAAGTCACACATTGGCTGCATTACAGGGACATAGCTGCAAATATAAATATCCAGGAAACAGAACAAGCAAGCACTCATATACTTAACTAGCCAGAGTGGATCATAAATAACATTGAAAACAGCCAGGGGCAATATTGGCGAGAATCCAAGAAATTGCATGATTAATTCTTATACTCAAGAGGTTTTAGGTTTGTGCCTCTTAGCAGAGTTAAGTAATGTTGGTATCTGGACTTTATGGAATTTGCCCCTCCTCCCAGTTTAGCTCTTTATTGTTTCATTAATTTTTAGATATGTCCAGCCAGCCCTAATCAGTTTGGGGCTATCCTTATGTACCTTTGCGTCTTAAAAAATTTTTTCCTTCACATTGGATGTCAACCATTTGAATTCACAGACTTTCCTAAATAGATTATGATTGAGCATGAAAACCTCCGTTCTTTAAGGAGAAATAAGTCTATTTCCTTCTGGAAGTCCCTTGGGTTTAAAGTTGCTTGATACTTTGCCTGGTGGGAGAGTGTTTAAAAGTAGTGGTGAAGTGAGGGCAGGAAAAATAATGTCACTGGAAATTTAACATTTTTACTGTATGGCTCAAGTAACTCTCTAGATTCTGGCTATTACGATAAGCCATAGCCAGGGTGATTATCACCACTGAGAACTAGCACAGCATACCGATTTAATTATTGGTCTAGGAACTGTATGTTGGCCTTGAGCTCCTGGAGGAAATAGAACAAATAAAACACTGTTACGACTTCATAGGCCCAACATCTACTGGGTTTGTGCAGATATCGGAAGGGGAATTTCAGCTGGATGAAGCTTTGATCGAAGTACTTTGGCAAAGCACTGAATCGAATTGTCTCTCGTCAAAGTGATGAATCAGAACAGTTGGCCATTTTAGTCTAGGCTCTAAAAAGGCCTTTTCTGTTCACGTACAGGCCCTTTTCCAATGGATGGAAGGAGCCAGCTGAATTGAGTTGGCCTAGTTGGATGGATGCTTCCATTTGCTCTGTCCAAGTGGAGTCGCTTGATTTTCCCCAATCTGGATGCTGCCTTAATGAATGCTTCAATGGTCCAGATAAAGGGGTTGCCACAGGATGCAGAGAAGCTGCTTTTTACAGGCCCAAACAAACTCTTGTCTTTGGCCGGAGGGCCACCATGATTCTGATTTGCTTATGGGTCAAGTTAGTAAGACCCCCCCCATGTAACATGATCCCCCTTTCATTAGATTTAGGGGAGGAGATGAGAAATAAGATATTGTTGGAAGCATTTGAAGAAAAAAAAAAACCCCTTCCTGCTTTTCTTTCCAGAATTCTGAACCTTGTGAGCAAGTTGTTAGAAATGCACGGTGCATTTACTTGGTGGGCCTGGGGGAGAGGGAAATGATGTCAGCCCAAAAGCCTGTCCCCAAATTGGCAGGCTTGTCTCGTCCACACGCTTGCCCCCATTCATTCCTTCTCCTCTCCCCACCTCCCCCTTTAACAATCTGATGATCAGTCCTGTTCTTCTTCCGTCTTCTGTTTCTCCTTCTGGGCTTGTCATTGTCTCTGGCTTGCTTTGTGGGGTTAAAACTCACAGTGCCTGCTTAATGAGTTCCATAACCAGGCAAAGTAATGAGCAGAAGTCTTCCCTCCCCGCCCTGCTCCCAACCTCCCTCCTGCTGGCCTGCTTACCTCCTTCCTACGTCTGTGTTCTTCAGGCTCCACTCCCCCTCCTTCCCTTTGGGGGTGTGTGTGAAAGAACTTTAGACTTAATTATTTGAATAAGAAAAACCCTTCCCCTTTGCCCAGAAATCATGCGCGTGCCATAGATTAGATCTGGGCAGGGATAGGCTGATGAGAAAGCACGTCTTGGCTCTGATTGGTTGTAAGGAATTGGGGTATTGTTGCAGTGGGGCAGCTGCTGGGAGAGAATAGACAATGGAGCAGCTGTCCCGGCTGGCACCCTGCACACCAGCTGTCTATCCTTATCTGTGCATGCTCTCTCTTACTCTCTCTCTCTCTCTCTCTCTCTCTCTCTCTTGCTCTCTCTCTCTCTCTCTTAAAGTTGCTGAGGATGCTGAGGATACCAAGAGGAGGAACTCTGGTATTGAATGGGGGTGGGGGGAGGAAATAGGACTTTTGACCCTTTCTGGGAAGAAAAGGCGAATGGGATTTTGTGCGGGATTTTGTGCGGAAGGGAGTTATTGTGTGCTCTCTTTTGTTTGTGTGCAACTGCGTTAAAGGGAATGTTCATTCCTAGTGATAAGTAAAGCCCCCCCCTGTTACAAAAGCACGATCACTACTCTTAGCAAGCTCCGAAGATTCATTTAGCTGCTGTCACTAACTCGACTGTCATGAAAAGAGTTTGACCTAAGCTCATAAGGCTCCAGAAGGCTTATGGATATATTTTGTGTTTCTTTTGTGTTTTGCAGCAATTTGCTTGCCAGGCTGTGATGACCAGCATGGATTCTGTGACAAGCCTGGAGAATGCAAGTAAGTTTCCAGATCTCTCCTTCTCCTGCTCCCACCCCCATCCTTCTGCCCGCAAACTTGATTTGAGAATCCCAGATTTGATTATTTTCAGGCCTGCTTTACTTCTTACCTAATATCCGTGTAAGTCAAATAAGAGGGAGCCCCAAAGTACCACACCACTCCAGAATTTATGGATATTTAGAAGAAGTTGAATGGGGCTTAGTGTCTAGTAGGAGCACATTAGCTTTCAAACATAATGGATGCACTGTGCCTTGTATCTAGCCTTTTCAAATCATAGAAGAATTATAATTAATTTGATGGAATAATTAGGTGGTGGTTTATGGGTGTGATTACTGGAATAACTCAATCAAGGGGAGAATGGGTGTGTTTTAGTTCGGAGCAGGGAAGTCTGTCTCTCTGATGAACTATAAAAATATGTGGCCCTTGGGAAATCAATTTCTCTGTCAGCATAATCGTCCTTACAGAGTTAATGTGGAGATTAAATGGGATTAGCATCCTTAACGTCTTGGAAGAAGGGTGATTTATAAAAGTGACGGTTAATAAATCAAGGCTACCAGCAGAAGGAACTTGAACCCAGAAATAAGGACAACAAAAATTAAAGACATTAACTTTTTCACCTACCTAAAAACTATTTCAGGTAGTGAAAAAGCTTCTGAGCTTAATAAGATTGATAACATTGTAAGAAGTACAATATGCTTAAGAAGTTTGACTTTTGTTTGGTTTTAATTTAAATAATTTTCAGTTTGCGACAGGACTGCCTGTACTAAAATTGTTTAAAATTTGTTTTTTCACAGATGCCGTGTTGGTTGGCAAGGACGTTACTGTGATGAATGCATCCGATACCCAGGTTGTCTTCATGGTACCTGCCAACAACCTTGGCAGTGCAATTGTCAGGAAGGATGGGGTGGTCTTTTTTGTAACCAGGGTAAGTTCTTCATTTGTAACTTTTACACAGTCCAGTTTTCTAGGCTTGGATCTCTCTTAAACTAAACTTACACAACAATCTTTCAGAGCCACAGGCAATTCTATGGATGTAACCTTTTTGTCTGTAACTTCTCCTACAGATCTAAATTACTGTACACACCATAAGCCTTGCAAAAATGGCGCCACTTGTACCAATACGGGCCAAGGAAGCTACACCTGCTCTTGCCGTCCTGGTTACACTGGTTCCAACTGTGAGATTGAAATCAATGAATGTGATGTCAATCCTTGCAAGAATGGAGGAAGCTGTACTGTAAGTTAATGCCGCTGCTACAATGAGTCTGAAAAGAGGGTTGTGTCCCAATTGTTAAGATACATAGCAAAGATTGCTAAATAGGTTGGGTCTTTTTTCCAACAGGACCTTGAGAACAGCTATTCCTGTACCTGTCCACCTGGCTTTTATGGTAAAAACTGTGAGCTGGGTGCAATGACCTGTGCCGATGGGCCTTGCTTCAATGGAGGACGATGTACAGACAACCCCGAAGGTGGATATAGTTGCCGTTGCCCCGTGGGTTACTCTGGATTTAACTGCGAAAAGAAAATTGACTATTGCAGCTCCAGTCCTTGTGCTAATGGTAAGCCGAATCGGTACCTGTGTTTGATCACCCATTCAAGTTAATGGCCGTTTTGCCATAAACATCCATGGGAAATGAATGACCTTCCTGCTGCAGTTCACTTAACTTCTAAGGGGAAGTGAGTAAACTTCTCACTGCAGTTCACTTGACATGCTATAATGGGAGGTCTTGATTTAATGGAGGAAGAGAGAGATCCAAGCAACACTGAAGCTTGCTAAGCCACACTGGTTTCTGTGGGAGAGAAGCAACAGTTTTGTGGGTGTGGTCTTCGGAGTAAACCTGACACTCTTCAGTGATTGTTAAAACAATTCTGAAACTGTTATGCAGCTTTTTTTAAAACTGGGAAACTGGTAAGAACACAAAAGACACCAACTCAATTTTCCCCTGTTTGGAGAAGTTTTACTTTGGCTTTTAATGAGGAAAAGGGTGCATTTAATAGGAATGGCTTTGCTGTGGTAACGTTTCTGAGACGTTTTATCTGCCTTGCCCAGCTTCCTCTAATCATGTTGGATTTCAATTCTTACAATTCTCCAATTCAGCCACCATTGAGCCATGCTAGGTGAGGGATTATGGGAGATAAGGTTCAACATAGCGAGAGGGCATTGGATTCAGAAAAGCTGAGTTACATGTCAGTTTCGGTTCTTCTTCCCATACTGGGCTAAAGGCAGAATCCAGAAAGAAACCTAGATATAAAATGTCAATCTGAAAATTTAAATCAGTACAATTGCCAGCTGAAATCATACAGTCATTGTGTAATAGTGTGCATCCAGACTAAAATTTGTCCCTCGCTTTTGTCTGAAGTAGCCCAAAAGGCTTGTCTGTCCTTTAACCTAACATTGAAAGCTTGTAACCTTTAATTATCAATCTACATGCGAAATAATGCCAAAAGAACCTGAAATCCTATTTGTAAGATTGCAAACCTATACTGTACGTGGGAATTTCCATTTAAGTGAGCCCTTTTAGGATGGTAGGGCATACCGTAAAAATAAAGTCCTTATAAATGTGATGCCTAATGCCACCAAGTCCCCCACAGGATGCCTACTAGAGGTGTTGGGGGTCTCAGTCCATCTGATTGGTGATGAGACTGGCTGTACCAGGCTTAATGACACTGACTTGATGAATCAGTTTATCCTTTTCAGTTAAAGCAGGCAATAACAATGTTTTCTTGAATGCTCCACTTTAATCTATGGGTGGAAAATTCATATTTGGAAGTTTCTTACACGTCGGTCTTTCCCAAAGGTGCTTTTTCCGAAAGGCAACTGGACTTTCTTGGTTTTTTTTCCTTTGATGAAAACTGAAGAGGCTTCTTGGATGAGAAATGAAATGTTTTCAAAGGAAAAAAAAACAAGTCCAGTTGCCTTTCGGAAAAAGCACCTTTAGGATAACTATGATCTGGATGATTAAAAATCTCCATAGACAGTTGATCCTTTCCCCACAAGTTTGCTGGTGGATTCTCATAGCAAATAGTCATACTGAATCTGGGAAGAGCAGAATCCCCACCCTGTGCCTTTAGGAAGTGCTTGGGACTTTGAGACCTGAACCCAAAGGCTACTGGCAAAGCTGTATTCCCTTCTCTTTGCCTAGAGATGCAGCAAAGAGGGAGCACTTCAGTCAGAGGGTTTGGAAGGAATAGTGTGTGCTGATAACATTTATGGTGCCTTCTATAAGGGGGAGGTTAGCTTTTTCAGGGGCATGTGCTCTCCCACCCTTCATGGTGGGGTAGTTGTGCAAAATAGGGCAATTTAGGATTTGGCATTCCACAGCAAGGCAGCTGAGAGGAAATAGTTTATATTCAGCACTGGATCTGATTTAGGCTAAATGTAGTCTTGGAGTTAGTTAACTGACTGAATTAACCTCTTTTTAATGTCCCCAGAATACATTAAGCCCCACTTTAGTTAAGAAAGTTGTGGGAACAGGTTGTAGAAAACAAGAAATTAGGGTGAGAAAGATCATCTTATTTTTAATACGTTTTGGGAGATTTCATTTGTTCATGTGTGAAAAAAGCATCTTTTCTGTGGTGTACAAAATTAGCCTGAGGTGGCCAGCTCAGAATATGTGCTGCCACATGGTTCTGTTGTGTAGGCTTTTATTCTGTTTTAAGGCTGTTGGTCACTTATTTTGCTCTTAGTTGCTCGGGCAATATTATTTTAATCAAGGAGAAACCCCTACAACATTTAAAAACAGCCAGATAAGTGACCTGATTTTTAAATTCTCCAAGCATCCATTCATTAGAGTAGGTGAGGGGAACTATGTTCTCTTTATGACTTGTGGACTTCAACTCCCAGAATTCCTGAGCCAGCCATGTCATAAAGTTCCACACCTCTGCATTAGAATAATAGTTCCCCAACTCTGCATTAGAACAATCGAAGCTTGCTTTTAAAATAGTCATAAAAATACCTAGACTGATTGTCATACAAGTAATATGGTTGCCTAGAAGAATGTGCCATCTATTTATTCATTCCTGACTGGTCTGTTCTTATGAAGATTAACTAGAGCGAAAAGCTCTATAGCAGTAAGCTCTGAGGTACTGATTTTGTAAATCTTGATCCTCTTGAATCCATCAAACTATTTTGGTGATCTTGAATGGACACTGTCTCTTATTCTTTGTAGGCTTGTTGTAAAGATGAAATAGGCAGCACCCTGGATAGGATGCAAAGATAATAGATAATAGATCAACAGCCCTGTCAGTCCCTGTGACTATTTCCTCCTAGTTATCATTGTCCTATTCAAACCTTTGCAGGAGCTCAGTGTGTGGATCTTACGAATTCCTACATATGCCAATGTCAAGCTGGCTTCACGGGAAGACACTGTAATGATAACATGGATGACTGCGCCTCCTTTCCTTGCTTAAACGGAGGGACCTGTCAAGATGGAGTCAATGACTATTCCTGCACCTGCCCTCCTGGATACAATGGAAAGAACTGCAGCACTCCTGTCAGCAAATGCGAGCATGGTCCCTGCCACAATGGGGCTACTTGCCACGAAAGAAACAATCGTTATGTGTGTGAATGTGCACGTGGTTATGGGGGCCCAAACTGCCAGTTCTTGCTTCCTGAACCCCCTCAAGGGGCAGTCATTGTTGACATCACCGAGAAGTACACCGAAGGTCAGAGCTCCCAATTCCCGTGGATTGCAGTGTGTGCTGGAATTATCCTGGTCCTTATGCTCTTGCTGGGCTGTGCTGCCGTTGTGGTCTGTTTTCGTCTCAAAACACAAAAGCGGCAGCCTCAGCAAGATGCCTGCAGGAGTAGTGAAGTTGAGACCATGAACAACCTGGCCAACTGTCAGCGAGAGAAGGACATCTCCATAAGTGTCATTGGTGCCACCCAGATTAAGAATACTAATAAGAAAATAGACTTCCACAGCGAAAATGCTGACAAAAATGGCTACAAAGCCAGATATCCGTCAGTGGATTACAATTTGGTCCATGACCTCAAACAGGAGGACACTGTTAAAGAGGATCATGGCAGATGCGAAGCTAAGGGTGAAACATACGATTTGGAAGCAGAAGAGAAAAACATAGTACAGCCCAAAAGGTATGGTGGTAGCAAAGGGGCATGGCTGAATGGGTCAGGTCTTTAATTTGCCAAAAGTGTGGGAGGGGGTGTATTGAAATTCGTTGCAAAACCAACCTCATCTGAAATTTTCTCTTTGCAGTGAAATATCTGAAAGGAAACGGCCAGAATCGGTATATTCCACTTCAAAAGACACAAAGTACCAGTCAGTGTATGTCATATCAGAAGAGAAAGATGAATGCATCATAGCAACGGAGGTAGATATATTCTCTCCCAGGCTCAAAACCCATCCCGTTGCACTAATTGATCACTTCCTCTGATGCAGCTCAGTTCTTTTAATTTGTTCTAATGGAAGCCCTAATGATGGTTGGTTTGCTTTGTAGGACGAGTTAGTAGGCCAATTGCAAAATTACGGCCCATAAGACTGTGAATCTTCTCCATAATATGTGGTATTGTCATCCCATCAATAGCCATGGGCAGATAGATTCCAATCTTTCAGTTCAGTCCAATTAGATGCATTAGTCACCCTGTCCATGCAGGAATGTGGGTGGGTGGGGAATAAAACCACTTTCCTTAAAATGTCTCACCAGGAGCAGGTATTTGATTCTCCTAATGATCAAGGGAATACCTTTTTATGTCTTAATGGGTATCCTTGGATTATTTTTTCATCTTGCCTCTCTTCTGAACTTTTGCAGGTGTAAAAAGAAAGATGACATGGCAAAATTGTTGTTTTGAAACAATTTTCAAAGGTTATATGCCCCAGTGAATGCTGCTGAATAAGGAAAGGGAGAAAGATTCCTTCACTGACTGCTGCTGAGAAAACTAAATTCAGACTGAGCTGGTTCTCTACTGAAGTTAGCAAAAGGGACTGCAAATAATACATGATGGACGCTAGGTCAGGCTCTGTGTTCAAAGATACCTGTTGCACTGCCTTTTATGAAGATTTATCATTGCACTATGGCCAGTTGATTTTTTCCCCCCTATATGTATTTAAATGAACGGACTGAATTCCTACACAAAAAATGTGCACTGCCTGGAGTGTGTATTTTGGATTCTATGAGCCAGTTGATTCTTGAGATACAGACACTGCCTTTACTGCCCTTTTTTATACTAAAATGTGTTTTTATTAGGTGGGGAAAGAAAGTGTGTTATTTTTTTTAAAACTGTAAAAATTATTTTCAGGATATTTGTAAAGCTGGGGTATTTTGTGATTTTTTTTTAATAATTTAATTTTTTGGTAAATATGTACAAAGGCACTTCGGGTCTATGTGACTATTTTTTTTGTTTGTATATAATGTATTTATGAAACATTGTGCAAAATGTTATTTGAGGGTTTTTTTTACTGTTTTTGTTAATAAAGAAATTCATTTTTAAAATATTTTTCCAAAATAAATATTATTAATGATATCCAAGGCATATGCTTTTTTTGCAAAACACTTCTGCACATTCACAGTTGAGAAGCTGCTATTGGTACAGGAGCAACAACATAGAAAACATTGTTGGCAGTGTATGTGATCAGGTCCAGATGTGAAGGTCTGATTTATTGCTAATCATGCCTATGCACAGGAATCTTCTCAACTAATAGCATCTGTTTGGGGTTGGATAAATATCAACAGAATTCAAGGGAGGTTGGGTTTGTTTATGACTATGTAGGGATTCTAGGCTGATCCCTCTTTTAACTACGCCCCCCAGATTCTGCCATTCCTTCTCCTACAGTTTGAAATTTCATGTTTCATTACTAATTAATCTTAGAATTTAAAAGGCCTTAGCAGTAGGGGTCCTGGGGAGGTCAAGGAAGGCAAGATGGTAGCTGTGCAGTGTAATCAAAGCCTTATCCCTTTATGCTTCCATAGGACAGTAATCAACAGGAAAGCAAAACAAGGGGCATATGAAAGGGCAGGGCTATAATAGAATTATTGTGTCATTGAGAAAGAGCAAACAGATTCAGCACTGGGCTGGGTAGATCAGTTTTATAAATTATATGAATACAGTTTCTCACAAATAAATGAGTTATTGGCCATAAAGCACTGAGCGGGAGATTGGATTAAATGATCTCCATAGCTCCTTCCAAATTCTATTGTTTTATTACTATTACTAATTGTATTCAATTAGAATTTTTCCAGGTTTGGTGGTAGAACATGAAGACTTGCCCGTTCACTGAATATAGCTATTCTATTTATTCACTGTGTAGAATTTTTTTTAAAAAAAACCTTGGGCTTTGGAGTTTTACCTGCAAAAAAACTCTTTGAGTGCCTAGTTTATTAGAAAATCACAAGACTTGCAGTGGAATAAATTAGTAGACTTAACCTATTGGAAATTTTTTATGGCTTTCCGTTTCTTGCTAATACCTAACAAGTAGACACTTTCTGGAAACTTTATGAAAGATCTAACACTAGACTATGTGATGACAAGCTCACTGTACAGAATGGTGGGTAAAGCACATACTAAACAATCCTTTCACACAATGAATTTTTCAACGCTGATTCCAAGTTCTAGCTTTAATAAGGGCCCAGTTAAATTAAAAGACTTCCTGCCATACTTCTAAAACATCCTATATACTATCACGCTTTCAATTCCGTTTTGTTTTGTTTTGAAATAGTATTTAATAAGTCTATCTGTACCAGAATGCAGTACATAGCAGTGAAACGGTTTACTTTTGAATAAATATGGATCATAAATGGATGCCTGTAGCCTTATTTTTTGATACGGTGTGTGCATAATCTTGTTTCTCTCTTTAAAGAAAAAACTTTTTAAGAAATCCTGATCTTGTCTTCTGCAAGAATCCTTCTTTATATACATTTTTAACCAGATAGTTTTTATTAACCCATATCCAAACAAACAATGGAAGATAAAATAAACAAAAATATTTTTGCTGTTCTTAATTAAAAACCCACATTGGTTGTAAAAATGTTAAATTCCAATTTAAATTGTACTAAATTCTAGTATAATTTAGTACAATACACATGTCTTTAAACCCAGAGTTTTCTCGATAATTCTGTCAACACATTGTACGATCTTTCTCCAAAATGGAGCATAACGAAGAACATGACTACAACATATGACTTAAAGTGTCCTCAAATTTCTTGAAACACCCATATGTGTTGAACTTGGCTTAATGAATACTACTCTGAACAGATTATGAAGACAATCCAAATAATCTTTCCACATGAAAGAAACCAAAATAGGAATATTAAAAGAGGAAGAAAGGAAAATGAGAAAGATGAATATTTTACCTTTATTATTACTGCTGATGTCATAGCTGCACAAAGGAATATAATTAAGATGTGCAACATCAAATTTAGTAATCTAACAAAAAAAAAATGGCCAGATGTAAGGATTCTGAATCTTACAACTGCAATCGCATGTCACTGCTAGTGCTTCTATCAAAGCTCTGGAATTTTCAACTCTGTTGCAAAGTTTGTGTAGATGTGAATATCTATCTGTTAAAAAATTCCCTCAATAGAGTTGAAACCTGTGCTATTTCTTTTTTTTTAATTCAAGAAAATTAAAAACTTTGAAAGACTGATGTTGGCTATCTTAGTGACACAGTATAATAAACCCTAATCTGGCCAAAGGAGGAGACTTCTTTTCAAAATGAAAGTGGACATGGAGAACAGGCCTTCCATGTAGAATCAGTGGTCTTCCAAATCCGTTGGGTTCTCAATGGAACTGGGAAAACATTTGCTGATTATTAACAGAACTGTTGCCAAACTAAATAGCATAAACAATCTAGCTGCATAGTCCAAGGACCCAGTACAATATAAGGCAACCTCATACAAGTAGTCCTCTTTTAGCGATCACACATGGGACCAGTAATTTGGTTGTTAAATGAATGAGTTGCTAAATGAAGCCATGACTGCCTCTATGATCTTACTTCAACTGTCCTTTGCTTTACAGACCAACAAAGTTGCTTTTTCATCATTATTATAACTGTGAACAGTTGCTGTATGAGGCAATCACTTAATCAGGACAATCTGTATAGTATATATTTATCCAGAAAGCCCATATTTCACAGCAACCAAGAATCAGCCCAGTTCATCACTGTAGGAACAGCAGCATGTTGTGACAGGATAGCCACAACTTTAGCATTCTAATTCCTGATCCCAGGTCCAGGATCATTACACGTAAATCACATATTCCTCAAGGGATACTGCAACATGTAATTTTATTGAATTTTAGTTTCCTTGTTTTGGTCATAGCAGAGGACATATTT